TCTCAAGAGGATCAACTGGGTCAGTCCGTTTCCTCTCAGCTTGGTCAGTTCGAAGATCTCCTGAGAAGCAGGGCTGCGAAGTGAAAGGTCCAATCTCTATGGAATCACTACATTCGTCTGCTTGACCAGCTGATCGGCCTGAAGCGGCTTCAAAGCCGAGAAACGATGGATCAGGTCCTGCTGTCCACCTAGTTGGTGAATCCTTTGAATCATCTTGGAGGCCTCTTCGGATGAGATTGGTTCCTTCGAAGATGGCTTCAGGGTCTTCTCGTGATGTCCCAATGGAGGTAGTTCCACCCGTTTGAAGGTGTCAGCACCTGTTTCGAGCGGAGGGCCACAAACAGTTCGTGGTCGTTTGAACCGATCGAGAATTTCGAGGCCCGATTGGCCAGCTCTTCGAACACTGCCTGAAACATCAATTGCCGGAGTGGTCTGGTAACCTGGCCTTTCTCCCTTTGCCCATGGGAATCCCTGGAAAGCTGAAGGAGTTGGGGTAGGATCGAACCCTTGAGCCTGAATGAAGAAAAGAAAAGTCCTGTCCAAATTCAGCTGATTGAGCTGATCTTCCTGCCGCAAGGTCAATTTGGCAAGCATGACCAGCAAGGAGCTGTCGCCGGCCGAGCCCAAACCCAAGGAGCGCGAATGCTTCCTCAATCCTGGCCGTGTACGGGGCCGGTCGGATGACCAATCCTCCTCTTCTGTTCGTGGCCGTTTGAAGTGCCCGGAACAAGCATCCATGAGGTCGGCAAACGATTGATCTTCTTCCTTCACACTGTCCATCATTCAATCCACGTGCGCTGCAAGTGGAACCAATCTTGGACTAGCACGTGCTCTAGCTCAAAAATAAACAGCTCAAAACTCGTGAGTTGCAAGGCCGGTGACTCATGAAACTGCAATTGCTCAAATTGAATGAAATCAGTCTCAACTGAGGTCCAAGCCCAAAAGAAGGGGCACACCGTTGTGCAGGCATTCAAGAGCTTGAAATGCGGAATGTCAGGCAATATGACTTGAGGCAGATGATGGATGTGAGCAAGGGACCAACTGAAGGCGGTGTACCATCTCAATCGAAATTCAGGCCAAAAGACTGGTGTGGCAGACAGGGACAAGGTGAGCACTGATCGAATAGCATGTTAGACATCAAGGTCGGGTGCCATGCAGGGCGTCCTGTGGAATGCTAAGTCCCAGGAAAGTCCCAGATCCTGGCTTGCTCCGTAGACATGGCGGGTTCACAGAGGGAGTCAGTTCCTCGTGGCGTATGCTCATTCAGAATCTGAATCGTGTTCATGGGGGTGTTTCCAGTCCCTAAGTGTTGATCTTGCATCCATTCAACGAGCAAAGTCGGGCACGTGGCACGTTGGTAATGAAGTCGAAGGGCAGCCTCAGTGGTAAAGCTACTCGAGCAGTGCAGGCATGCAAGTCGACCAGAGTGTATGTCTCTACTGGGCTGAAAGTCGAAGAATGGCGGCTTGTCAACTTGATGGTCCTTTCGGAGATGTCCAGCCAAGCCCTTCCTACCTATGTGTTCTTGACAGAGCGGACAACGAAAACTCCTCGGAGAACACGGAATGTTTCCAGCTGGGCGGGCCAGTACTGCGTTCACTGTGTCAAGTCGTGGGGCCTTGAGGCGAGGGCCCTGTGGCTGGTCACATCATCTGGAGCATCTGAGGTGGTATGCAAAATCATATGTTTCTCAAGACCAACCGGCATCAAAAATTGACTATGACAAATGGTGCAGGCATACAAGGCTGGTTTCGTCTGAATCGGTTCACTGCTTTTGCATTCAGGCTCTGTCACAAGATCTGGCCTAGTTGAGCAGTCGGAGAAAATCGGAATCATACCTGAGTCCGGCGGCTGTGAGGGGGCCGGGATCGATCGATGCTGTGGCTGAGGATCTGTTCGACCGGCTCGGATGGGTTTCATCATGACTGGCATATTTGGGAAAAATTCCGGCTGGAAAGTCTAGCCTAACAAGGCTGACAATTGGAATAGGACACCACAGTCATGAGTGCGAATGTCACGGCATTTTTGATTACAGAAATAGCATCTACCTCTGCCATTGCCAAGGTTGGCAAGTCCAATTACATGGTCCTTGTATTGAGCTGCAAGTGGGACCAAATGTGCATGCTGATCAACATAATGCTTGCGGATCGATCTGGATGCTATTTGGGAATGGCAATACGCACAATGCTGAGCAAACTCAGCCATCAAGGCCTGATTGAGGAGCAATTCTCAAGTCTTCACGAGCAGCAATGGGTGTGATCGAATCCTGCGCCACATTGAATGCTGAACACGCTCTCTTATTTATATGATCACAAAGCCTATAAAAATCAACAAAGGAATGAGCGCAGTGGGAACAGACTGGACGACCCTGCCATGCATCCGTAAGAGGTTGAAAAAGGTCTTCTGTTTCATATGGCGTGTCATGATACGTTCTCATGTGTCGTTTCAAGGCCCAGGCCTGCTTAAAGGTGCGATGACATTCTGGACAAGCAATTTCCTGGGTCTGTTGGACATCAGGCGTGTTAGTGGGCATGGAAAGATCATTAGACCAAATATCTGGGATCAGTGCACAGACATCAGGAGTGGATTCCGTCATGGCTTCACTCAGCAATCGGTTTTTGCGCTTCTGCAAGGCCAGTTTGATTCGTGCTTGTTGTTCCTGGAGCATGATCCACGGTGGTGAGAGTTGAAGTCGAATGAAAAAATTCAACATTGATTCATGAGTCAAACAAACCGGGGATTTGGCCATGGTTCTATGATGTGTTCTAATCACGCTGACCAATCGAGTGAGACGTCTCCGTGTGATTCCCATTTCATGGATATCATAGCTAACAATGGCAAGGACACATTGTCTATACAATCTGAATCTGGTAGATAGGGGATGGACCGCGCTGGTGAACCACTTACGAAGAGTTCGAAAGCACCACTGTGTGGCAACAATGCATCTTGCAGTCGTATCATAATCCCAGGCCCTATAACTTATAATCACTCCCAAGTAGGCGGTTTTGGACACCAAAGGCAGGCGCCAATCGTTCTCTGGCAGTCGAAGGAAGGGATCGGTGGACCCAATGTCGATGGAAGGCAGGTGTTTCACGTCCTACCAGCCTCATAGTGGCCACGCTTTTGGTCATGTTTATCTGGAGTCCGTAAGCTTTCAACACATCCAGAACATGTTGAAATTCAGCAAGTGCATTCAGCGCTTGAGGATGAGAGCTAATTATCCATCTCTGGTGAACATCGTCGGCATATATGATTCTGTGTTCATGGAGCCAAGACAAGGAAAACCTAGATTTCAAAAACAACAGGATGTAACTCATGACCAAGGTCCAAAGCAAAGGGGCATCTTTTGAGCCCTGTTTGGTACCCCGGCTGGCAGTCACATGACCAATGAGTCGCTTGAAAGGAATGCAATATTTATGAGGCGCCAACCAGGACTGCGCCAATTTCAGGAGGCCAGGATCCAAGGCAAAAAAGGAGAGGGCTCTGTGAACGAATTTTCTATCAATCTTGTCAAAAGCTTTCTCCATGTCCAAGGACACACCTCCCTGAAGCCCAAAGCATCTGGTCACAAATCACGCACCTGACGGCAATGTTCAGCTACAATCAGGAGGCAGTCTCGAGTGCCACGGTTTGGCAGGTATGCAAACAACGGAAGTTGAGACAGGGTTGTGAAGGTCTTCTGCATCAGGTGTCTACACTGAATACCCGCAGCTATCTTATTGACGGGATGTTGAAGACAAATAGGTCGAAGTGCTTGGGGTCGTGATGGAGCCTTGTTAGGCTTTGGAAGAAGGTGTATCCAGCCTGTGGTCCAATGAGGAGGAGGGGAGAGTTTGTCATCAAGCCAACAATGCTCAAATGAGTGATAGACATATGGTGCTAAAACATCAGCAAAATGCCACCAGATCAAGGCTGGAAAACCATCCGGTGCTGTGTTTTGGGGCGCAGTCCCCTAAACCTTTTTGATTGTTCTAGTGC